CAGGCTGAGGCACAAGAATTGCTTGAACCCGGGAGGTGGAGATTACAGTGAGCCAAAATTGTGCCACTGCACTCCAGCCTGGGCAATATAGTGAGACTCTGTCTCATAAAAAAGAATTACCCTGTCTTGGGCAATTCTTTATAGCAGTGTGAGAACAGACTAATACAGTAAATTGGAACTACAAACTGGGGTAATGCTATAAAGATACCTAAAAATGTGGAAGCAACTTTGGAACTGGGTAACAGGCAGAGGTTGGAACAGTTTGGAGGGCTCAGAAGAAGACAGGAAGATTTGGGAAGATTTGGAACTTCCTAGAGACTTGTTGAATGGCTTTGACCAAAATGCTGATAGTGATAATGGACAATGAAGTCCAGGCTGAGGTGGTCTCAGATGGAGATGAGGAATTTGTTGGGAACTGGAATAAAGGTGGCTCTTGCTATGCTTTTCAGAGAGACTGGTAGCATTTTGCCCCTGCCCTAGAGATATGTAGAACATGAGAGAGATGATTTAGGGTGTCCAGCAGAAGAAATTTCTAAGCAGCAAAGTGTTCAAGAGGTGACCTGGGTGATCTGAAAATCATTCGGTTTTATGGGTTCACAAAGAGATGGTTTGGAATTGAAACTTATGTTTAAAAGGGAACCAGAGCTGAAAAGTTTGGAAAATTTGCAGCCTGACAATACAATAGAAAAGAAAAACCCGTTTCTGAGGAGAAATTCAAGCCAGCTGCAGATACTTAAGTAACGAGGAGGCAAATGTTAATCACCAAGACAATGGGTAAAATGTTTCAAGGACATGTCAGAGACCTTTGTGGTTCCCCTTCCCATCACAGGCCTGGAGGCTTAGGAAGAAAAAATGGTTTCATGGGCCAGATCCAGGGCCTTGCTGTTTTGTGCAGTCTCAGGACTCAGTGCCCTGCATCCCAGCTGTGGCTAAAAAGGACCAACATACAGCCCAGGCCATTTATTTAGAGGATGCAAGTCCTAAGCCTTGGCAGCTTACATGTGGTGGTGTGCCTGTGGGTGCCAGAAGTCAAGAATTGAGGTTTGGGAATCTATGTCTGAATTTCGGATGATGTATGAAAATGCCTGGATGTCCAGGCAGAAGTTTGCTGTAGGGGTGGAGCCCTCTTGGAGAACCTCTGCTAGGGCAGTGCAGAAGGAAAATGTGGGGTCAGAGCCCCCACACAGAGTCTCCCAGTGGAGCTGTGAGAAGAGGCATACCTTCCTCCAGACCTCAGAATGGTAAATCCACTGACAGCTTGCACTGTGCACCTGGAAAAGTTGTAGACACTCAGTGCTAGCCAGTGAAAGCAGCTGGAAGCGTGGCTGTACCCTACCAAGCCACAGGGGTGGAACCACTCAAGGCCATGCGAGCTCACCTCTTGCATCAGTGTGACCTGGATGTGAGACATGGAATCAAAGGAGATTATTTTGAAACTTTAAGATTTAATGACTTCCCTGCTGGATTTTGGACTTGCATGGGACCTGTAGTCCCTTTGGTTTGGCTAATTTCTACCATTTGGAACAGAGACATTTACCCAATGTCTGTACCCACATTGTGTCTTGGAAGTAACTAAGTTGCTTTTGATTTTACAGGCTTTATAGGCAGAAGGAACTTGCCTTGTCTCAGATAAGACTTTGGACTTGGACTTTAGGGTTAATGCTGGAATGAATTAAGACTATGGGAGACTGTTGGGAAGGCATGATTGGTTTTGAAGTGTGAAAGGGACATGAGCTTTGGGAGGGGCCAGGGTCAGAATGATATGGTTTGGCTTTGTGTCCCCACCCAAATTTCATCTTGAAATATTATCCTGATACTCTCCATGTGTTAAGGGAGAAACCAGGTGGAGGTAATTGGATCATGGGGGTGGTTTCCCTAGTTCTGTTCTTGTGATAGTGAGTTCTCCTGAGATCTGATGGTTTTATAAGTGTTTGATAGTTCCTTCTGAATTCATTCTTCCTCATGCTGCCTTCTGAAGAAGGTGCCTGGTTCCCCTTTGCCTTCTGCTATGTCAGTTAAACTGAGACCTCCCTAACCATGTGGAACTGTCAGTCAGTTAAAGCTCTTCCCTTTCTAGATTATCCAGTCTTGAGCAGTTCTTTATAGCAGTTTGAGAATGGACTAATACATAAGGATACAGAAATGTTGAGAGTAGAAAGAAAAAGCAGACACTAATGAAAAGTGGTACATTAATATTAGACAAAGAATATGGAAACAATATTCTGAGAAAAAGTTTAATGATCTTTCCTTTCCATATTTTAGGGTTCTTTTAAGGCAGTTCTGGTGGTAACCAATACTCTCAGTATTTGCTCTTATGGGAAGGCTCTTACTTCTCCTTCCCTTATATAGCTTAGTTTGGCCAGATGTGAAATTCTGGGTTGGAATTTTTTTTCTTTAAGAGTGATGAATATTGGCCCCCAATCTCTTCTGGCTTGTAGGGTTTCAGCTGAGAGGTCTGCTGTTAGTCTGATGGACTTGCCTTTGTAGGTGACCTGGCCTTTTTCTCTAGCTACTCTGAAATGTTGTGATTATTTGATTGTATTTTCATATTGATGGAAGAAAAAAGTTTATGTGCTTTGGTATTTATATCTGTGAATAAACATTTTAATATTAATTATTAAAATTTAGAACTGTTTTTATAATATATAATTATTGCATAATATTTTATAATTTTTAATTAGTAAAGAGAATATTTTCCATTTGTTTTTCAAACTTTAAACTGTAGAAAGTTGGTACTTTAGTTTTCTTGCCCTGAACTGCATTCTGTGGTGAGCTCTTGAAAATTACAGATCTGTTGCAAACTTGCAAACATGTTTAATGAATTCTTGGGATATTATGAAACACAGATCGAGAAACTATTAGGCAAAGTAAATACAAACTAAGGGTTACTCCTAAAATCAATTAAGGAAGGGTATGTTATTAGTTAAAAGTAATCTGTGATCATATATTGCATTGCTTGAGAAGTTTAAATTGCAAAATGAGGAGTGCTTTTCGTTTGCTGTTTAAAGAAATTATTTAAAAATTATTTAATACTTGTAAATATTTAAAAATAGATTAAATTTTATTTTAATACATTTTAAATTATTTAAAATACAAATAAATTCTTTAAAACTTATTTTATCTTAAAATAATTTTAATGCTTTTATTTTCTCATTAGAGAAGCAAATTTAAATGTAAACTATTAGTGTAGAAGAATTAGAATATTTTGATAAGCAAAAATAATATTCTTCTTTATAAAAATTCTACCATATTGCATTGCCACCAGGAATGTAGAATATCTCATTTCCTACTGTCAAACAGTATGTGACCAAACTTCTTTTGAATTTTTACCAACCTGATAGGTGTGAAATGATATTTCGGTTTAGTTTAAATTTTCATTTATTTAATTATGAGTGAGATTGAACAACATTATTACATGTTTAGGGACATTTTTACATCATCTTGTGCATTGTCTGTGATTATATCTTTTGTGCATATTTTCACCTGCATTATTTTTTCCCTAGTTTTTAAGAGTTATTTAAATATTTAGGATACAAAAGTTGTGTGTGTGTGTGTGTGTATCTCTGCATACTTTTTTTCCTAGAGTTGTAATAGATGAACCATAATTCTTTCTCTACTTTTCTTTATGGAAAATTAATGGCAGTTTATAATAATTTTGGTAGTTCAAGGTATAGTTCAAGTTGTTGCTTCAGAACATTACTTCATTAGATGCTTGCCATGTGTCAGGCCCCTAGTTGGGCACTGAGGAGGCTTTGTGGAAGAAAGGCAGTGTTTTGGAGGTTACAGTTTAGTGGAAGAGATTTAAAACACAAATATTAACACTCTGCCAGATGCTGTGAAGGAGACATAAAGATGCTGTGTGACTAATAACAGGGACTTGGGTTAGCTGGGTGGTCAGGAAGGTATTAGGATAGTTTTTTAAAGCATTGCAGAGGTAACTGTCCTTTTTGGGGATTTTGATTTTATTATTATTATTTTTTAGTACTTGTTTAAAACCATTCACCCAACAACTGAGATAATTAGGTCAACGTAAACTCTTGTGTGATCAAAATGCCATTTAAGTTTAGATGGAGGGAGAACAATGAAATAGATATTTTCTAGATTATATGGTCTTAGGTTGAACTAAAGTTTCTTTGAAGACTATAGTTTTTAATTTTGGTAAATTTTGAGGGTAAAGTAAATATAGCATTTTGCCATGTTTACTGTCTTCTTTAATTTTGTGATTTATTTAGTTTTTTAGAGATTTTCATTTTAGTAATTTTTATGTTTAGGTAGGAGAGGTGTTTTATCAATTCAGTGTTGTTATTACATGAAGTATAGATGAGAAGGTTAACACTTACACAAAATTTAAAGGAAAACAGTTTCCCTAATCTTGATAATAAGGAAACATTCAAGGAAGTCTTGATAAGCAAATGAAAAATATTAATAATTGGCATTCAATCTGAAATTAAATGTTCAAATGTATGTTTATGTATAAAAGCACACCTTGATTTAACTTCATGGCATGTTAATTTGAAAGTTTATAATTTAATTCCATAGAGAAGACTATTTTTCATTATGACTTGTAGAAAAATTTTTTCCTGTGATAACTAATGTTACAGTTTCTTATTTGGATAATAATAATATGTATCTTGAAAGATGTATTTTTAAAATATATAATATATCTTGAAATGTGGTATTATAATCAGGTTAAATATGTTGAAATAAATGGTCTGTAATTTAATTTTTAATGACTTCCTTTCTGTTGACAATTATGTTTTGTGTTGACTTGCAATTATTCTAGTGGTTCATACTGGTCAGGTTCCTACAGCAAGCAAGTAGGAAGTTCAGTTCCTTTTTAAAATTTTGACAGTTGCTTGTTTACAGCAGAGAATCCCAGGGAGTAAGCTGTATTACTAGTAAATTAGACATCTGCCGAAAGAGCTCTATTTGGTAGTCCTTGACGTTACTCTGAAAGAAAGACGAATTTAATAAGAATTTTACCTTTTTTTTTTTTCCAGACACTGGCCAAAAGAAGACCCTAGACAAGAAAGATGGGAGACGAATGTCTTTTCAGAAACCTAAAGGGACTATTGAGTATACTGTAAGTTATTTGCTTTCGAAAAAGCTATTTTTCTTTGTAAAAGTCTTCTTTAAGACATTCTCTGTTTATGCTATAAATAAGAAAAGCATTGTTAATTGCCTTATTTTTAAAAATCTGCATTTCACTTTGGATAATTGTTTTATTAATAGTAATACTTAAGTTTTTAGTTTTTTTTTTCTTTAAAGATAAATTTTACTGAGACACAAAGGTAGTTATCCTAGAAAATTTAATTTAATATAGATAATAATTTACTGAGAGAGTTCCTGTGGGCCAATAATTTTTATTAGGTTAGGCTTTTAGGAAAATATTTATCTTTTCAGAAATGTGATCTTCATTATATTCCCAGCAGTGCTAGTGATAATTATAATGGCAGATGGGATACATAAAAGACAAGTTGATGTTAATCTTCCAGTGTAACCTTCCACATTAAATCATTTGTATTTATTTATAGCTAACTGCCTTTAGCTCTAAAAATTGAGCTTTTTTTTTTTTTTTTTTTTTCTGTATTCTTGAAATGAACTTCAAATCTCCCTGCAGTCACCTGGCTTTTCACATTTCTGATTACTCTGGGAAACTGGAGTGAGAAATCAGCTTTGGTGTATGGTATGCTGCTTATTTGATTGAATGTAAAGATTGTTTATTTAGATAATGTTAACGTGTTGTAAAGCACTTTTAACTGAGCTTGATTTTGTTATTTTGTGTTTTTGTAACATAACTGTATTAAGGAGAACAGCAATTTTAAACATTAATTTAGCATTTGTGTCATTATGAAACCGTCCAGTCTTGGTTTGAATCTTATTTTCTATGCATCTTTAAAATTGAACAAATTATTAAAATTCTAAGTTATACTCTATTTTAATATACTATTAGTATATAGCGGACAGTTTGAGATTTTAAATAGTTTTAAAAGGTTAGGAATCAGATAATTTAGGATGAAGTAAAATTTACTAATACCAAGATAATCTCATAGCGTATTTTAAACTCAAATTGCATGTGTTTATACCTTCTCTGCATAATTAAGAAAATAAGTTCAAATAAGTTTTTTATAGGTAACCTTTAAAATTTCTTCTTTGTTTTTACAATTCTGCAGTGCCAATATGAAAAATTTAGATTTAAACATGTTTTTACCATGTTTATTGTGTTTCTTCAGTCTAAGAAATCATGTCACTCATAAATTCTAGAAAAATTCTTGGTAATTATCTTTGATTGCATTTTCTCCTCCTTTCTCTATTTTCTTTCTCCAGAACTCTAATTTATTATTGAAACTAATTGTACTACATTTTGCTATCATTATGCTTCACTGACTTTGCTATTATTTTGATTGTATCTCCTGTCTACTTTGCTGGGTGTTTGCCTCCTCTTAATTCCCAATGTGAGTGGTCCCTTGTTTCTTTTTGCTTTTCTATTGACATTCTATTACTTGGAGTGCTTAAGAACTTTAAAATCTATATGGAGTGAGACCCAAACTTTTTTTCTATGCCTACCTTTCTAGTTGCTTGCATTTCCTACTATCACTTCATCTAAGCAAATTATGACAAACCTCTTACCAATTCTTCTTCCCCCATCCACAATTCCTGATTTTCTCATTTCCATTCCCTTTCAGTTTGTTATTTATTCAGGTTGCAGTCTTTAGAGTCAGCATCAGTTTGCTCACTCACATTTGCTTCCCTGACCTACTACTGCTGCTGTCACCACAACTCCATTCAATCTATGAATGTCTTCTTGAGTCTTAGTTGAAATTTTGTACCTTAATTTCTTTCTTTACATTTTTATTACTTTAAACCTTGTCTTTGTTTTTCTGCATCCATTCTCTTTCTTGTTCCATTAATTCTAGCTCTGATGCCAGTAATATAAAGATGCCACTTGGGCTGTTTTGTTACCTTCATTGTCTCATTTAATAGAATCACGGTGAGAATAAAATGTGTGATTATTAATATGAAAGTACTTGGTAAACTTACAGATGTTACTGTAAAATATCATTTGTTTACGGAGACCTTTTATATATATTATCATATTATTTCAGTAACATAGGTTTTATATCAGTACATTGTGTAGATGGGGAAGTTTGCATAGAAGGATATAGGCAGAACTAGATTATTATTGTATTAACCCAAATATTTGGCATAAATTTGGTTTTATAAAACCGTTAAGGAAAATATGTATATTATTATTTTACTTACACAAACAAATGCACACACACCTGCTTTTCCTGACTTTTGAAGTCTTCTATAACCTAATTCTAAATGCCTTTTTTTTTTTTTTTTTTGGAGACAGGGTCTTGCTTTGTCACCCAGGCTGGAGTGCAGTGGTGCTATCACAACTCACTGCAGCCTCCACTTTCCAGGCTTAAGTGATCCTCCCACCTCAGCTTCCTGAGTAGCTGGGACTACAGGCATACACCACCACGCCCAACTAATTTTTGTATTTTTTGTCAAGGTGGGATTTTGCCATGTTGTCCAAGCTGGCCTTGGACTCCTGGGCTTAAGCAATCCACCCACCTCGGCCTCCCAAAATGCTGGAATTACAGGCATGGTCCACCATGTCTGACCTCTAAATGCCTCTTTATCCTTTTTAGAAACTTAACTCCATGTAATCACCTTCCTAAAACTTTGTGCTTCATGAATCTACTCTGGATGGTTTAGGAGGAAGAGGATAGTATCCCACAAATATATTATACTTTTCTGTCTCTTAACTATGTCAGGTCTGTTATCTTCACTTTGAAAGTTCGTTCCTTTCTCTCTGCTTTTCAAATTCCCAACCCTTCTTCAAGATCCAGCTTTAAATCATTTATCTTCTGTAGTCTTTTCTGGAAAATTTGGATTACATGATGCTTTTATTCATACTCAAAACTTCTATTGCATTCATTATTCCATTTTAAATTGTTCATCTTTTGCATAACCTTTTATTTCTTAGTTTCCAACTAGATTGTAAATTCCTTGTGCACTAAAACTACTTTTAGTTGCATTTAGTTGTGTTTTCTTCAGAGCTCTCTTAATGCCTTGTGTAATGGGGACTCTTAAGTGGTTATATTATATTGACTAAATGACATTTTCTTTTAGGGTAATTGATAAAGTCTCATTATTTACAATTTCTATACATAGGACTATGGAAACATACGAATGATTCAGAACTAAATTGCTCAACTTTAGTTCAAATATTTTTCTAATTTATATGTGCAATAACAATATATGCATAAAGAGCGTTAGAAGTAGCATTTTCAGTTTAATACAGGTGTACTTTGCTAAAATGAAATTAGTATATTACTAGAAGTTATAAATATTTTAGAAACTATTCAAAGGAATAGTATATTATTTTAAAACGTTTGTAAAATGAAAATAATTTGTTTTTGATTTTTAAATTATGTTTTGTATTTTGAAATTACTTGAAGTAGAGACCTACATGTAAATGTATTGTGATGAAGCCTGTACTCTGTATTGTAATAGATTGAGAGCATTTGCTAACAAAACACAGTGTTTCTTGACAGTTATTTTCAAAGATGACAATATCGTTGTTAATCAAATGTAAGCTGGTCCCTAGATACATTAATGCTCATTAAATATTATAGTTTAGTTTTTCTGTTTTAAACATTGAAATAATTTATTTTCTCTTATAAACAGGTTGAATCAAGGGATTCTTTGAATAGCATAGCCCTGAAATTTGATACAACACCTAATGAACTTGTTCAATTAAATAAGTTATTCTCCCGAGCAGTTGTTACTGGACAGGTAGTATCTTTTTTTTTAATGTGCTGATGTTTAGAAACATTAAACAGAAAGGCAGAAAGTATACTTTGTACTATAGTTAATAATATAGAAGATTTGAGAATAATTTTATATGTGCTTTTAACAAATCATATTGGCGATATAAGAGAAAAGTAACTGTTCTATGTCTGTATGAGTTTCTTTTTTAATACATATTGAAAATAATTGTAAATTTTTCTTTTTAAATATAAAGAGCTTTTAAAAATATTCAGAGCAATATATGCATATGATCAAAAATTACTTTATCAAAGTAAGGCATCCCTCCACCTCAAACTTCCAATTTCTTTTCCAAAAGCAATGAGTTGCCAGTTTGCATTTCTTTCAGGAACGGTCTAGCCTGCTTTTATTGTTGTTGTTGTGTTTTAATTTAACTTTGATTCTTGGAAAGTGTTCTGTTTAATCATAGTTCTAGTTCAGACTTTTTCACACGTGCATAGTATTGCATTGTATTGATATATCATACTTGTTTAGTTAGTCACAATAAGCATTACACTATTTCTACTCTTTTGCTAAGGTCAATACCGCTGTAGTAAACATGCGTATACATATCTGTTTTTCTTTATGTGCAGGTATTTCTGTAGGGTGAATTTTTAGAAGTAAAGTTACTATATCAGCGGATATGTGCACTTTAGATTTTGCTCACTATTGCCAAATTGTCCTTTAGGATTAATACCTCTATAGTATATTAAAATTAATGTTTCCCCACCCTGTTACAGCCATACATATTATCAAATGTGTCTAAATTGATTTTAAATGTTCTTTTTTAAAAAATGTTTTTATATTCTTATAATTTGAAAATTTTTATGTTTTTCTATTTAATTGGTAATTGTTAGTAGTGCTTGCTTATAGAACAAGGTCATTGTTAATAGTGCTTGCTTATAGAACACCATCTATTATTAACACTTCAGTTTAACTAAATCTTTGTGTGAATGTTTTCTTACAGGTTCTATATGTTCCTGATCCTGAATATGTCTCCAGTGTTGAGAGCTCTCCATCTCTAAGCCCCATAAGTCCTCTGTCACCAACATCATCTGAGGCTGAATTTGATAAGACCACTGTAAGTATCTCTGATTTGCAAAGATGGCTATGAAGAAATCTCACCATGTCTACACTGACTGTCTTGTTTTTTTCTTTCCACTTTGACTATGGTTAGAATGAAATATTTACTTTTTATTTTCTTGCCTAAGTTTGTAAATCCCAGCTTTAAAAAAAGACATTCTTATGAAACCATATAGCTTAAATTGGCTTACCTTTGTAAGTGGTGGTGGTGGGCCAAAAATATTCATCAACTCTTATTTTTTAAAGAACATACATAATTTAACTTACAAAGGAATCTTACCCAACAAACATGACATTATCACAGTAGAGGAAGTTCATGTTCAATTTGATGTTTATTTCATTTATAAATAAATGAGTATATAGTACTTAGAATTCTTAAGTGAATTTAATTTCGACACACTGCCTTTTAAAAAATAATTTATCATCTTAGTCATCCAAGATTTAACATAGTAGATTAATTTATCTAGCATTTCTAAAGAATGAGTGTTCTAATAACTTACATTTTACAAATGAATTTCAGAGAACTAAACCTCATTTAATAATTTTGATTAAAATCTTCTGAAAGGAATTATATATTTCTTTGCCTTTCTGCATAAATTAACTGTTAATGCTAATCATAATTTTCTGTTTTCATAACAGCTATTGTTTCCATGTAAAAGGCTATTTCTTCATTAAATGGCTAGATTGCTGTGGGAGATTCTTCTGTGTTGTTCTCTTGACTTTAGGAGACAGCCTTTTCTTTGTCTCAATTTGCACTCAAAGCTTAAGATACCAGATGGCAAGCAAACTAGTAACAAAACAAATTATTAATGTTAATTTGCCTATAATTGTTTATTTCTAAGCTCTAGTATACCACTTTTTTCATGGAATAAATTGCATGGTATTATTAGTAACTATTTTTATCCTTGCCCGGGAACTTTTTTCTGCCTCTGTATGTGTACGTGTGTGTGTGTGTGTGTGTGTGTGTGCGCGTGTGTGTGTGTGTGTTTTTTTTGTGTGAGAGAGAGAGAGAGAAAGAGAGAGAGAGAAATGAGGTATTTTTCATTTATTTGTTGGATATCTTATTTATATAATTATGGCAATACTATGCTTTAGAATGCAGTCACATGAAAGGAATATATTACATTTGTTGTCATCATTGATAAGAATAGAAGTCAGGTTTTAATGGTAGGTATTACTTACCAAATGACACAGTACCTTTTTGAACATAGCCATGCCATTTTCCCATGGGACTTACAAAGAGATGTCCTCATAAGGGGCAGTGGCAAAGTAACTATGTAGCCTTAGGTTGATTTAGCCTGTGTTTCAAACCCTAAAGCAGAATTATGAAAATCTAAGCTGTAGCATCATGCCTGACTAGAAACCTGTGGGGTCTCTTCCAGTTCCTCAACTTTAACCTAAATCTGCCTGTCTAGTGGCTTTCTTGGAAAGTATAAGATCAAAGAAAACAAAATGTTAAAAGTTAAGGGAGCAACAAGGCCAGGCGTCAACCTGTGTGAAAATGTGCCCCTTCTTACTTTTGCCATTTGACTGAAAGAGATAGAGAGGATAAAGTTATGTGAATGATCTTTTAATCCTCAGTGACTTAGCTACTGTCAAAGATGAACCAAAAAACTTCCTCTAATGTGGCCAGTGATACGAGTAAATTCTTTGTCCCTGGGATAGATTAAAAAAAAGAGGTAAGAGATTCCTTAAAGAACTAAAAGTACCTCTACCATTTGATCCAGCAATCTCACTACTAGGTGTCTACCCCGAGGGTAAGAAGTCATTATATGAAAAAGATATTTGCACATGCATATACAGCAGCATAATTTGCAATTGCAAAAATATGGAACCACCCCAAATGCCCATCAATCAACAAGTAGATAAAGAAAATGTGGTGTTTATATACCGTGGAATACTACTCAGTCATAAAAAGGAATGAAAGAATGGCATTTGTAGCAAGCTGGATGGAATTGGAGACTATTATTCTAAGTGAAGTAACTCAGGAATGGAAAACTGAACATTGTATGTTCTCACTCATAAGTGGGAGCTAAGCTGTGAGGATACAAAGGCATAAGAATGATACAGTGACTTTGGGGACTCAAGGAAAAGGGTGGGAGCAGGGTGAGAAATAAAGGATTACACATTGGGTACAGTGTACACTGCTTAGGTGATGGGTGCACCAAAATCTCAGAAATCACCACTAAAGAACTTATTCTTGTAACCAAACATCACCTGCTCCCTGAAAACATATTGAAATAGAAAATAATTTTTTTAAAAAAAAGAGGTAAGAGAAGAGTGTGCGAACTTCCCTTTACACGGAATGATACTCTTTACCTGCCATCAAAGAGATTATGGGCAATAGTTAGAAATAATTCTTACAACAGTGATTGTGTAAATTTTAGTTGTATTTTTTTTTTTTACCTAGAATTATATTCGTTACCAGACTCCAAGATAATATTTCTATGACTTTCTGCTTATCTCAAGTGCCTACATTTCTATATTCTAATTATTGGGTTTTATGTCTCCCATGCTGTATAAATCCATTAGAAGTAAGGATATTATGTTTTATTAGATATAGTTTATATTTTCATTACATTAATTAAAATAATGTCTCTTAGTATTGTTATTATTTGTTTTTCCCAGAGATTGTCAGTTTATATTTCCAACAACTACTGATAAATTTTTTGAATGTCCAGCTTAGTAGTGGTTTACTATGAGGCTGAAAATATGTTCCTGGCTTTGTCAGCTTAAAGACTTTCATTGGTTTTTGAATAACTCATTTTCACTTAAAAAATTGCATTTTGAGAATTTTCATGGTAAAACAAATTTTTTTTATTTTTCACTTTTTTTGTTCACATATGGAGGAAGAAACAAGGAGATAGAACCAAAATAATGGTAAAAATCATAAAAATAGCTAAAATTTAGTATTGCAACAGGTATAATTCTAAACACTTTAAAAGTATTATCATTTATTCCTTACCTCAGATTTATGAGGTAGGCACTTGGCCTGGGTTTCTGTGTTTGTCCCTCCAGACTTACTCTGTATTCTCTAGTGTCCTTTGGGCGGTAGACTGCATCAATGGACTCTGTTGCCTTTTTGCTTCTGTTGGTGTTGGTCTTTCTGGAGCAGTTGCAGAAGATAAGAGGGAAGGAAAGAGAGAATAAGATGGGGACATATTTATTCTCCTAGCTCCTGCCCTATAAGGTTATTCCAGAGTGACCACATTCTTCAGCATCTCATCTTATCTTTTGTCATCCCTTTCCACAGAGCCATCTCTAAATTTAGGCATCTGTTTCTCCCCCTTGCCTCTTTAGGGATAGAGGAGTCTTCTGTTATTATTCACCCTGGGTTTTTGTACACTATATACACCTTTGTAAATAGTTCCATAATTAAATCCTCTTAAAATTACTCAGTTTCTACCAGGCATGGTGGCTTACTCCAATAATCCCAGCACTTCAGGAGGCTGAGGCAGGCAGATCACTTGAGGTCAGGAGTTCAAGATGATTAGCCCAGCCACATGGTGAAACCCCATCTTTACTAAAATTACACAAATTAGCCGGGCCTGGTGGCAGGCACTTGTAATTCCAGCTACTCAGGAGGCTGAGGTGGGAGAATCACATGAACCCAGGAGTCGGGGATTGCAGTGAGCTGCGCCACTGCCTTTCAGGCTGGGCTGCAGAGTGAAGACTCTGTCTCAAAAAAAAAAAAAAAAAAAAAGGCTCAGTTTGATGTGCAATCTGTTTTTTTCTAGTACCTGACCAATAAGTATTGTATCCATTTTATAGAGGAGGAAACAGAGGAAGAGAAGTTAACTATTTTGCGTTTAAGGTCACTCAGCTAGTAGCTAAGCTAGGATTCTAACCCAGACAGACTTGGTTCGGAGCCCATATTTTTTTATTACTACTTTATAGCTGGAAAATGATAACTCGGAAACACTACTCTTGCCCAATAAATAACTGGACCCAAAGAGTTAAGTAACATTTAATCATTATAAAAGTCGGTATAGCAATAGCTACCACTTTGCGCTATCATCTTCCTAAGATTCTTTAAATCTTTCATTTTTTGAATAAATATAGAAACCTGCTTTTGTTTTGTACGCCTTTGTTTTTTCTCTTTTGTACCTTAAGTTCACCCATTATGATAATGCCATTTTAGGCTAAAACTGTTAATGTGTTATATTCAGGATGAAGTTCAGCAGAAGAATGTTTTAAGTAATACGGAAAAATGAAATAATTTTAAAGTACTTACGTTTATATTAATATACTCTATTGAAGGATGGGATATGCAGGTAGTCATATTCTCTTTAAGATAAAGCCCTTCACGTAGAATACTCCAATCAATCTAAAATATAAAAATAGAATATCAATAACAATTGAATTGGATACACATGGTGTATAAGACAATATAATTTTGAAAAAAAATACTATTAAGAGATTCTGGGGAAGGCCTAGGAAGTCCTAAAGGAGGAAAGAGGAAAAAGTATAAAATAGCAATAGAATGTAGGCATATTAAATCTTCCTTTTTAAGGATAGGCTGTGATTATACTGCTACAGTGGCTATTTTTTTTTTACTTAAAGAGTGCTTACTATGTATTTACTCTGTTCATTTCAGAATTTTAATTAATCTTTAACACTTTAATAACATTTTAATTACTTTATACCTTTAATTAATCTTTGACCCCATGAGGTAGGTACAATATTCATGATCTGTATTTTAAAAAATGAGGAAAGTAAGGCATAGAGAGAAGAATGATGGTTAATAAGTGGTAGAACTAAGATTGAAAACCTGGCAGTCGAGGTCTAGATTCTGTGTTGTGTTCTTAACTACTTTTTATACTGCCTAAGTAATAAAATGATGACTACTAGCAAGTGCAGGTACTCTATAACTGAGACATATGATCTAAAATTAAATATATGTGTCACAATTTGTAGGAACTAGAAAGTTTGTAGTAAAGAACTGTGTGGAAGTAATGAATGAAATTTTTGCTTGGCCAAAGCAAAAATAAAAATGTA